TATAAAAATCCACCCAGATCGGATAACATTATTGAATTGCTACCACATGCCAAGATTGACAAGAAATCAGCAACACCAAGCCCTTGGACGATTGCAAGCTGGACAAACCGCTCGGCAAGTAGCCAGTGCATTTCAAGTCCATGTAAGGACCATATACAGGCTCCAGCAACGGTGCCAGACCACCAACACTACAGATGACCGACCGCGTAGTGGAAGACCTAGGGTCACCACCCGACGTCATGATCGTCAGATTGTGCGACAGCATATTCAAGATCGCTTTGTTACTGCTGCGGAAACTGCTCGACAGACCATGGGGACACACCAGCGACACCGTGCGTCGACGTTTGACGAGCAGACACCTCCACACGCCACACGGAAGACCCATTCTGACACCACGTCATCGCCGGGACTGTCTTCAGTAGGCAACACAGCACAGCATTGGCGCCACCAGCAGTGGAGAAGAGTCCTCTTCTCAGACGAGAGCCGTTACTGTCTGCCGACGCCGCGGGGAACGTTATTCGGATGCTTGTGACGTTGAGAGAGACTCGTGGGGTGGTCCGTGCATCATGGTGTGGGTTGGAGTTGATCTTGCACAGAGGGTCGGCCCTGTGGTCTTCCTGAACATCGGTCCAGGGAGAAGCAATGGTGTCACATCAGCTCGGTCGATCAAATCTTGAGACATTCCTCATTTGGCATGTCGCAGCAACCACGAATTTCAACATGATAACGCCCGTGCCCACAATGCGAGAGCAACAAGAGACTTCCTCCAGCAGAATGACATCAGAACCATGCAGTGGCCTGCCCTCAGTCCCGATTAAATCCCATTGAGCACCTGTGGGACGAGATTCAAAGACGGCTGAATGACGTCCGACCAAGGCCGACAACTGCAGCTGAACTGCGTCAGGCGTTCCTCAGAGTGTGGGCTCAAGTAGCTTATGGCTTTCATCAACCGCCTCGTCCATTCCATGTATCGACGTTGCACGGCAGTCATCAATGCACATGGCGGACACACGAGATACTGACTTGTGATGCCATTTTCTCAGAGACTAGATTTGTTTCACTTTAAGAACATTTGACACTTTAATTTCAACCTATAATCAGTTTTGTCAAGTTTCATCTTTTTAATATGTCTCAAAGTATACTCAACAACAAAAGTTCCTGTGACACCAATATTTTAGTGTATTTTTCAAACAAGTAAAGTTTGGTTTTCAATATTGTAGTACATGTATGGAATTAAGTCACCAAAACGCAACTGCTACAGAAAAGCATGCATTCCATGCAAAGGTTTTATGCACCCCCCCCCCCCCCCCATGCATTTCACTACCCAAGAATGGGTATAAAAACATGTGTGTTAACGGGATTCCATATGCATTGTTAAGCATCGTGCTCAGAAAAAAAACAAAATTACGTAATTATTCAACATTACGAAATGCCACGCCTGTCCGAAAATAAGCATCTGCGAGCCATTGGTATGCTTGAAGCAGGATCGAGTCAACGTGATGTTGCAAGACAATTTAACGTCCACAGAAACACCATTAGGTGTTTATGGCAACGTTGGCAACAGACGAATGCAGTCAGAGACCCTCCTCGGAGTGGCAGGCCACGCGTAACCAATAATCGACAAGACAACTGGATTCGAACAACACACCTACGAAATCGATTCCAACCAGCAACAGTGACTGCAAGTAGCATCCCTGGCCTTCGACGAATATCTTCACAAACCGTACGTCGTCGCCTCACTTGTGCAGGGATTGTCGCCAGAAGACCCACCAGACGTCCCATTTTGACAGGAAACCACCGTCAAGCACGTCTACAGTGAAGTTCTATTCACTGACGAGTCTCGTTTTCACCTCAGCCACAGTGATGGACGGATTCGAGTGTACCGACGTCGAGGTGAACGTTACGTCAATCATTGTGTCATGGAAGAAGATCGGTACAGGGGCGGCAGTGTTATGGTATGGGGTGGGATTACAGCAAGACAAAGGACCCGTTTAATGGTTGTAGAGGGAAATCTCAATGGACAGCGCTACCGCGACGAGATCATCGGCTGTGTTGTTCTACCGCTTTTGCGTCGTCATGGCCCAGGCATTACCTTTCAACATGACAACGCCCGGCCCTATGTTGATCGACTTGTTCAGGATTCTCCTCAACAAAACAACGTGAATGTCATCCACTGGCCGGCTCGTTCCCCTGATCTCTCACCAATCGAGCACATGTGGGATGAGATGGATCGGCGCCTTCGACGTCAACGGCGTGTTCCACAGACACACCAGGAACTTCGAAACATGCTTCAGCAGATATGGACAGATATCCCACAGGACTTTGTGCGACGCCTGGTCCATTCCATGAGACGAAGATGTGTTGCTTGCATCGCAACCAGAGGTGGACACACACGCTATTGATTTGTAAATTGACATTTTGGCATGTTCATGATTTTTTAAAATAAAATCACGCATTTTCTTTAGTCAGTATGGCAAATTAAACCATTCGAAGTTTTGGAGATATTTGATTTTTGCCTATTCATTAATTTAATCCAGTGGTTTTAATTACTACTCGTTTATATGCAGAAATATAGAGGATATGTTCCATTTATACACCAATCACGAGCGTTGACGAATATTGAGAAGATATTGTTATATGTGGTATGCGTATTTTTAATAACTAATCTGCGGTAATGTATCTCTGATCTGCGGTAATGTATCTCTGATCTGCGGTAATGTATCTCTGATCTGCAATAATGTATCTCTGATCTGCGGTAATGTATCTCTGATCTGTGGTAATGTATCTCTGATCTGCGGTAATGTATCTCTGATCTGCGGTAATGTGTCCCCGATCTTCAGTAATGTATCCCCGATCTTCAGTAATGTATCTCTGATCTGCAATAATGTATCTCTGATCTGCAGTAATGTATCCCCGATCTTCAGTAATGTATCTTTAATCTGCGGCAATGTATCTCTGATCTGCGGTAATGTATCTCTGATCTGCGGTAATGTGTCCCCGATCTTCAGTAATGTATCCCCGATCTTCAGTAATGTATCTCTGATCTGCGGTAATGTATCTCTGATCTGCGGTAATGTATCCCCGATCTTCAGTAATGTATCTTTAATCTGCGGCAATGTATCTCTGATCTGCGGTAATGTATCTCTGATCTGCGGTAATGTGTCCCCGATCTTCAGTAATGTATCCCCGATCTTCAGTAATGTATCTCTGATCTGCAATAATGTATCTCTGATCTGCAGTTATGTATCCCCGATCTTCAGTAATGTATCCCCGATATTCAGTAATGTATCCCCGATCTGCAGTAATGTATCTCTGATCTTCAGTAATGTATCTCCGATCTGCAGTAATGTATCTCTGATCTGCAATAATGTATCTCTGATCTTCAGTAATGTGTCCCCGATCTTCAGTAATGTATCTCTGATCTTCATTTATGTATCTCTGATCTTCAGTAATGTATCCCCGATCTTCAGTAATGTATCTCTGATCTGCAATAATGTATCTCTGATCTTCAGTAATGTAGCCCCGATCTTCAGTAATGTATCTCTGATCTGCAATAATGTATATCTGATCTTCAGTAATGTGTCCCCGATCTTCAGTAATGTATCTCTGATCTTCAGTAATGCATCTGATCTTCAGTAATGTGTCCCCGATCTTCAGTAATGTATCTCTGATCTTCAGTAATGTATCTCTGATCTTCAGTAATGTAGCCCCGATCTTCAGTAATGTATCTCTGATCTGCAATAATGTATCTCTGATCTTCAGTAATGTGTCCCCGATCTTCAGTAATGTATCTCTGATCTTCAGTAATGTATCTCTGATCTTCAGTAATGTATCTCTGATCTTCAGTAATGTATCCCCGATCTGCAGTAATGTATCTCTGATCTTCAGTAATGTATCCCCGATCTTCAGTAATGTATCCCCGATCTTCAGTAATGTATCCCCGATCTTCAGTAATGTATCTCCGATCTGCAGTAATGTATCTTTGATCTGTGCTAATACATCAACAATCTACAAGGTTGTCAATCCAGTGACTGACATCATGAGCATTGTTCTACGCAATTAGGATACGATGACATTCATCAACCAAGTCAGCGAGCCTGACCACCCGTACCCGTTAGTCGCCTTTTACGACGGTATGTAAAAAATCGAGTCTGGGCCAGACAATCCAGTGACTGACATTATGAGCATCGTTCTACGCAATTGGGATACGATGACATGCATCAACCAAGTCAGCGAGCCTGACCACCCATACCCGTAAGTCGCCTTTTACGACAAGCACAGTCGGATCTGTTTACGGCAAGCATGGGTTGCTGAAGACCTATTCTACCCTGGATCTTCAAGTGTCGTCTGTGTGTGTGTGCGTGTGTGTGCGTGCGTGCGTGCGTGCGTGCGTGCGTGCATGTGTGCTTGCGTGCGTGCGTGCGTGCGTGCGTGTGTTGGGGGTGCCTTAGGGTACAAAGAATGGGCTTCAAACATTATGCCTTTGAGGTATTTGACACGATTGTTTGTTTGTTTGTTTGTTTGTTTGTTTTTGTTTGTTTGTTTGTACGTTTCATTATAAGGTGGTTGTTTCAATTCAATTCATGCCAGTATTATACACTTATTTTAAAAATAAAAAATGAGAACAAAACCTTTGTACGGAATTATAAGGATAAGTCGTATAATTTTCGGCAAAAGGGCTACGGTCCACGTCGGCGGGGTTCGATGCTACACAACCAACCAGGTCACCCAGCCTGAACTAGCGATCCATTAAGTCCCCTCGTACGACCAACGTATGTGGCTGGGACCTTTTCTAACCCGGAATCCCCGTAGGTTCCCAATGTTGTCACCTCTAGCGACTAACAGTGGGGTGCTGGGGACACAATCTACCCCGGTTCCCCACGGGGAGATCGCTGCGGTGAAGTAAAGACAAGTTTGTGAAAAAGAAAATGGACTTGTCCGCACGTATTGGTCATAAGAAACTATTTTGTACTTGCACATCAGCTTTATTTACGTGTTTAAATGTATTTTCGACATCATAAGTCAGACAGGGGCAGGTAACTCTGTGGTGTCCAGTGGAGATGCCATCTTACCATCCATAGGTATCGCTGCCACTCCTGGTACCCCCATCATCACCACCATCCCTGATACCCTCATACTCATCACCACTACGATCACTGTCTGTCCTATACATGCCACGACTGCAGTCTGAAGCGACGTCAATGCTGCTGGATTTCCCTCTGAGCAGTTTAATGTCACCATCAAGTTCTTCCAAGATGTCCCTGAAGCAAGGCCCCACGCATCCTGGGGACAATAAGTCAAAGTATTAGCAACAAGGAACAGCTTTCATGTTGGGACGAAGGTAAATAAGATAAACATGATCCAAGAAACTTAGTACTATAAGTGAGATGGCGCGACAAGTCTCGTATAAAAAGTCTCTCTTCCACTCAGTGAGTGAGTGAGTGAGTTGGGTTTAACGCCGCTTTTAACAATATTCCAGTCATATCACGGCGTGTCAGCTTAATGTGGGAGGAAAGCCCGAAGTGATGCAGGTCTCAGACGTTTACCACTTCGGTGAAACCCACGAGCACGGGTATGGTGCTGACAAACCTAGAAACATAATCGGGGCGAACCGGGATTCGAACCAACAATCATAGGTTTCTGGCGTGCCCAAGGGACGCAACTCTGCACAGCGAATCGCGGCGCCTTAGACGACTGGGCCACCCGTGCCCCCTCTTCCACTCAGACATACATGTACTAGCAATATGGGGCGGTCGGGTAGCCTAGTGGTTAAAGCGTTTGCTCGTCACGCCGAAGACCCGGGTTCGATTCCCGACATGGGTACAATGTGTTTAGCCCATTTCTGGTGTCCCCCGCCGTGATATTGCTGGAATATTGCTAAAAGCGGCGTTAAGCCACCTCACTCACTCCCTCGCAATATAATACCTGTCCGATAAGATACCTGTCCACCGACCCCGCGGGCGACATGGGTTGACTTACCCTTCGGGCACAGGAAACATAAACCAACTTAGATGGTACATCAAACCAACTTATAATGTATAATTGTGTGCATTATTTATCTATTAATCATAAAAAAATGTCAAAACCGCAAGTTATGTTGAAGAAACTACGTGTGGTCGAATCAGTCGATATGCAGTTTACAGTGAAATCGAGCCATGAAGATCCGGGGTAGAATAGGTCTTCAGCAACCCATGCTTGCCGTAAAAGGCGATTGTGTTAGTCGTAAGAGGCGACTAATGGGATCGGGTGGTCAGACTCGCTGACATGGTTGATGCATGTCATTGTATCCCAATCGCGTGGTCCAGATTCGATTATTTACAGACCGCCGTCATTCAGCTTGAATATTTGCGGCGTTAAACAAACAAACAAACAAACAAACAGTGAAATCACTACACCATTGTTGCAGGAGAGGGCATAGGTGACGTCACATGTTACTCTATTTCACCCCATTAATCTTAAAATTCATTTCACTAATGATTGAATGAATTCTATATAATGTAATATGCTACATGCTATATTTTATTGGTAAAATAAAACCGGCATTACGTAGAGGGGAATGTCAGAGTAACTCTCCATTCCTTAAAAATAATGGAGCAGAGGTCCTGCAGGGGCCGAGGCCCATTATATTTAAGGAATAGAGAGTTACTCGGATATTCCCCTACTTAAAACTCAGAACTACTATTATACTTTGACAAAATATTCTGTTGTGGAAAATATTTGAAAAATAAACCAGAGCCCTGTGTGAGTCGTCCTTGCGGTGATGCACGAGGAATGCGTTCTCTGCCGCTGTTGCACGTGCGCCAAACTCTTTCGCGAGCTGTCATTTACAATGCATGGTACACGGCTCTTCATATTTTCATTGTGTCCAGAACTAGTATATATCAATCGCTTTCACATTGCCAATACATGCTGACGGGGATAATAGGAAATATAGAGCCCCGAACAAGGATTATATATCTAACCTGATTGTTTTTTCTCGTCCAAGGTCTATCTTATTGCTATTAATATAAACATTGTTGTAGGTAACCTGCTCTAACACGAATATATACTAGCTTTTAAGCATTATGCAAAATTATGAAAATATTTTATAGCTAATTTCACACCATAACTTCATATGCCGCCGTAGCTGAGGTTAACAATTATAAGTCCTCTAATCAAATCATGCGGGTTCGAATCCCGTTTGCGACACCTGTTTTCGGAAAAAAATTGAAATTATTCACTTGCCAATAAATGTGAAAAATAGTTCCGTCTGTTCCAAGGGGAAATTAATTCAAATGTTGATTTAAGATAATGTACAGTTGATTAACAACTCTCCATTCCTGAAACATAATGGAGCGTTCAAACAACAGAATGACGTCACAAATGTGTTTTAATCGGGACTCGTGCAAGCATCCACACACGCACGCGCGAACATGCATCTCCGTATGTAAGTGCAATAATCGCATATCACCTTGTCGAGCGGCCATTAGGCTAAATGCCCAGGATCCTTTCAACATCATAGCTTCTATTTGAGTGGTTATCTCCCAAAACCCCTACATCCCATTTCCCCTACAACCCAGTTCCCTTACAATTAGTTAAAACAACACGCGGCATTTACCTGTCTGGCATTATGAACTCACCTAAAGGAGAGATTAAGGTCTGGAGTAGAGGTAGTAGAAATGAAAGGGGTAGAGCTTTAGGGGATTAGGGGACTTAAAGGAAAGTTAAAAAAAAATAATTAATGTAAGTGTAATGAAAGATGCCTGTATGATGAGAAGACAATTTTTAGAAATTACAAAAATAACAATAGGAAGAAACAATTATTACACTGAGAAACTGAGATGAGACGATTTACAGTTGAGATGAAAAATGAACATTTTGTTATAATGTATTATGAATTTTGAAAAACGAACATTTTATTATAATGTATTATGAATTTTGAATAATATCGTAATCGTAATTAAATATTTATCTCAATCTATTCGAGTTTCTTGGGTTGTTCCATTGTATGAAATAGGTAACAGACTAGGGATTAGCAGTGCCATGGACCGAGAACTTTGTTGTCTTAAGCTGTAGGGGAAATGGGATGTAGGGGTTTTGGGAGGTTACCATTTGAGTCACACGACACTTACATTAGGCATCTAATCAAATTACATGATATTGGTTACAGGAACTCCGTGTAATAGTGTCACAAGTTCTCGACTGTGTTATTATGTACGGATTCAGAAACAACTGGGAGATCCTGGCAGCATATGGGCTTCCCTCTCCCTGAGTCAATACTCAAGGAAACGTATTTTCCCCCAGGAAAGAAATCCTACTTTTTCAAATAAATCGATGTGACTATTTTTAATGTAAATCTATGCCGAAATTTGGTACGAGTAATTTTGATTGCTTCAGTTAGTTTGTTAGCGACAGAATTTCTGCGCTAGGTTGGCAATACGAGGAGTGGGGATCGGGTATTGCTTCCGCATTTGCTGGCGTATGGGTTCAGGATATTTATTTCATAATTTCATAATAATATGCTGGATAATATCGAGGACAAGTTCACTGACTCTTCAGAGAGTGAGTGAGTGAGTTGGGTTTAATGCCGCTTTAAAACGTATTTCCGTTATATCACGGCGTTTCAGCTTCATGAGGGAGGAAAGCCCGAAGTTATGCAGGTCTTTACCGCGAGCACAGGTATGGTGCTGACGAAACTAGAAACATAATCGGGGCCAACTGGGATTCGAACCAACGATCATAGGTTCTGTCGTGCCCAAGGGACGCAAGTCTGCATAGCGAATTGAGGCGCCTTAGACTACTGGGCCACCCGTGCCCCGAGATCTTCAGTGTTTAGTGTTCTACAGTGGAAACAGGTTGGGCTTCATGCCCCATTATTTATACGGCCAGTCTGATGCACGCTGAAGAAAACCCCAAGGTAAAAAAACCAACCAAAATAGTGACCTGAAAAAAAGCTACGATGCAGTCAGCATGTATCTGGGATTCGAACCCCAAACCAGTATATCCTGCGCTGCACTGGGAGTTTCAGAATCTTAGAACACCGGGCCATATGTACCCTCTTTAGTGATGTTATACATCATCAAACTCAGACTCAAGTGTTACTTGGACTAAGCGTATTGCGTAATAAGCAAGTATTTGGTCACTGCACGGTCCTAAAGTTTGTCCATTTTCCAAAGGGACACAGACCGCTGCGTATTAACTGACTTGTCACAGCGAACAATTCGCTCAATTGACATACGTTTTGTGGATATGCCTCTATGACATCATGTAGTGTCCACAACAAAATATTTCCTATTACGCAATTCCTTTTATGTGTGGCGCAGAACTTATCAATTTACCATCGTAGAATGGATTTACACAAACTGGCTTACCGAGGATCGTCATCACCTGTGGTCTCACCTTTCTCACAAGCGGGACAATTGGCTCTGGCAGCGAAAAGCACTCGTTCCATCTCTTGGTTCATCTTGTGCACCAACACATCAATACCACCGAGAGCGATGCAATCTATTTGAGGTCCAGGCAGGATGAAGAGGGCAAACATCATGACAGTTTGAATGTCCATCTCTAGCGTTATGGAAGCTCTTACAATATGCCAGGATAATTAGGTGTGTCTTAGCACAGTGAGGGAACACCGGAGGGAAGATGCACTGAAATAATTTAAACATTTTGAATTAAGAATTGAAGGAAGATCTTTATCGATCTAATGGTGCATTAATTCGTTCTTAAATGGATTTGCACTCTGCTGTTTTTAGAAGTCACATGACAAGGTTCGCATCAACAGCTGCGGGCGTTGCTGTATTTCCTTATCCTACACATATTTATTAACGATCAAAGCACAACTAAAGATTCTCGTCCAATTAAAAACGTCATTCGGTCAAGTGGAATAAATAGTTTACTGAAATAAACTGCGGGTTTTTTTATGGAGTTGTGCGTTTTGGATTCCGTTACGCAAGTGATAAAGTGTGTTTGTTTGTTGTTTAACGCCGCACTCAGCTATATGACGGCGGTCTGTAAATAATCAAGTCTGGACCAGTCAATCCCGTGATTGACATCATGAGCATCCGTCCACACAATTGGAATACGATGACACGCATCAACAAAGTCAGCGGGGGGGGGGGGGGGGGGGGGGGGGTAGGAGTGGTGTAGGTCTCAGATGTTTACTACTTTGGGTAAACCCACGAGCACGGGGAGGGCGATGATGAACTAGAAACCTAATCAGGGCGAATCCACGATCACGTGTTTCGGGCACACCTGGACGCTGGTTGGTCCAGTGTGTATAGACTGATGGCATATATCTGGAATATTGCTGAATATTCCGGCGTAAAACAACAATATAATACAAACAATATAAAAGGCAAACAATATAAAAGGCTTGTAAACGACTACAAGAAAACAGTGTAACAAATGTTTTTTTCACGATAATATTATTTTTATTTTGATCAAATTATGCCTATATGGTATGTGCGCGTTCTAACATTAAAGATAAACAATAACTAAGAAACAAATTTTGGTCTTGTCGCATGTGCAGTGTAATAAAGTATAGTTTTGCCGTGAGTTATTATAATAGGAAACAACACTCAAAGTTTGAAAGTATTGAAATATGGATGGACTTTTCCTTCGCGGATTCATTTTATGGACTATAATTTCGACTGGTTTGACGTGTGTTCGGCGCTATTCACGCTATGCTGTCCGAAGCGACACTTATCGGAGCATCGAGGAATAAGAAGCCATATATCTCATATCATAACAAAGGTATCCGATGACGAGCTGCAGCCAAACTATCATGTGTTTTGTTGTGGAATAAAGCTTGTACAATTTGAAAGGGTGAAGCATATCGGTCGACATTATGTACTTTAAAAAATTACTTACATAGTATCCTTATAGAGAATTTAGGTAAACGAACAGGTGATAACAAACTTCATCAATAAAAATGTGAAATTCAGATGATTTATCACTAAACATGATGATTTACCTTTTTTAAATCTGCTAGACATTGTTTATATGCAGAAATAAAGATTACACCAAGTTTATTTTTCTCGTAAACTAACCCGGAAATAACAATCAGCTATATGCACAACTTCTACCAATCTATTCGGTTAAAAATACACAATAAAACTAAATTCAAAGATTTTTTATGCAATGGTCGGATGATAGTAACTGAAAACAATTATTTTATCTGATATAAAATATTCCGATATCGAGTTATTTTAGTTGCAGCATGTACTATATATTTATATACAACTGATGAATGAAAACGAAATGCAAATATCGTTATTACAACCCACAATAGTTGTATGTACGATATCAGGCAGTTACCTTGTTCCGTAACAGATATTAATACATCGGCACAATATGATACATACATTTAAAGCTGTGCGAAGAAAATTGTCCGATGTCTTTGTAACACTCTAATATTTTATAATATATATATCGCGTTCGGGATATTATGATCCGTGTTCGTTTTTCAAACTGATCAAGTAAGTATGTTTTTAGGTGTTTCACATAGGTGTCAAGTCAAGCTGAGATAGCACACGTGACAACTGTGTTTATGATGTCCACGGTTCTTTACAAAACCCATAGAGTTAAATATCAATGAGCAATCAATCAACGTTATATCATCTTCTCGAGGCAAGGGCGTTAACTGACTATAAAAATCCAGTTTCCACCCTTGCCAAACTAGGTTAGAATTTCCAGGCTCGATCGTACCTCCACCAGTAGCTATTACGAGTTATGTCCCTCCCATGTCCCCCCTATTCATCAATCTGATTCCACCTTTCTTATCACTTGCATTTGCTTAAAACAAAATGGCGGCGCCCAGTCAGGATGATCTGATCGATAATCAACATCTATATTGTAAACAAAACGGGTCTTATGTCGCGAAGTCATCATTACATCACTTGAGCGACTTGATAAAAAATATGAAAAGTTGGCAGTACGCATGGTTTGCAAATCCTGCAGTCGACCGAAATCTGCACGTTGATCCATGTTGTCCAGTTGGTAACGCGTGTGATTGGATCATGCATAGAACCGTTAGTCCAGCCAAAATGTAACTCAGGAATTCCTGCCTAGTTTGGCAGGGGTGGAAACTTGACTTTTATATTCAGTTAACGCCCTTGTCTCGGGAAGATGCGTATTGGCCCTCCAATCACGCCTCTGTGGCAGCCTTTATGTCCTCGTCATCCTGGAAGCGTCTTCCACGTAGGGCAGCTTTCATTTGCCGGATCAGGAAATAGTCACTGGGGGCTAAGTCTGGGCTGTAGGGTGGTTGATTTAACTGTTCGAATCCACATTCACATATGGCGGCCTGTGCAATTCACGACTTGTGAACCGGAACGTTGTCATGCAAAAGTAGATTACCACGTGTTAACACCCCACGGCGTTTCGGGCGAATAGACTTTTGCAATTCTTTCATTACATTAGCATAATACTGTCCATTGATTGTAGTTGTTGGTGGCATGTAAACAATCAGTAATATGCCTTTTGCATCCCAAAATATGGTGGCCATTGCCAGCCGATGGCTGAGTGCGAAACTTCCTCGGAGGCGGAGAATTGGGGTGCTTCCATTGCATGGATTCCGATTTAGTTTCTGGGTCCCAGTGGTGGATCCATGTTTCATCACCTGTCACTAGACGAGAAAGAAATCCGGCTTCATCAGCAGTATAGAGATCCAGGAGGTCTGGACAACGTTCAGCTCTCTGATGGCGATCTTGAGCTCTGAGGTTTCTTGGTACCCATCCTGCAGATACCTTGGACATACCAAGATGCTCATGAATAATGGTTACAACTGTTCCAACTGATATTTGGAATTCAGATACTTTCACTCGTCGGTCAGACAATTTTCTTCTTACTATAGCAGCAATGGTTTCCGGTTGGGTGGCATCTGAAGGCCTGCCTGACCTTTGGTCATCGTCTATGGACTCCCTACCCCTTTTAAACTGCAGAGACCAACGGCAAACTGTGGAATAGTCAGGAGCACCCTTACTCATCACTTTGCACATACGATCATGGATTTCATTTGCTTTTCATCCCTCCTTGGTGAGGAACTTTATTGCAGCGCGTTGTTCATGTTTGAGAGAATTCATGATTGTGACCACCCTTAGGTGAATGAAGCCATCACATCTAACTTATTGTTGTGTCTGGAACTTGTTATGACACGTGTCAACCTGATGTTATGACTAGTGTCACTCCTGCCACAAGTTGACATTGTTTGTGTAAACACAAATGCCCAAGTTGCAAAACGTATTGAACGCCCCTCATACATAGTAGACAAAATTTTATTAACTACATCTTTAGGCTTTGTGGGTTTGGTTGTGTTCCTGCCGTTGGCTCTTAGTAGGGTACTGAGGGAGGTGGAACTTGTGAAGTAGGTGTCAATATTGGCTTGCTGTTTGAGGAGGCGGCTGATGATGCGGGAGACTTTTCCTATGAATGGGGGAGGGGGGGGGGGGATGCGGAAGGGCGCTGATTCTGGTTCAAAGGTCGCAGAAGCAATCCACATTCGCCGCCACAACAAGCCATCAATCAAGGCCATTTCATCCCATCCGCCTACTATGAACTCATTAAGCAATAATCACTACACCAATACAAACTTATCCTGTCTAATTGGCTTCCACCTATGTGTTCTGTCCATCATGTTGTGACAGTATTATCCTTCTGTTGTCATTACTTACTCATGTTATCCCACTCATGTATGCAATTGTTGTTACTGTTAATCCTCTACTGTTAGCTGTTACTGTTAATCCTCTACTGTTATTGTTACTGTTAATCCTCTACTGTTAGAAGTAGATCCTCCACCTACTATATATATTCTGTACAATATCCCTCATTCAGTCATGCTTGACAACGGTATAAGGATCTATACCGAAACCTCGCCTTTACAGTATTAAAGAAGTTGTTATCCATAAAATTGTGTCAACTTCTAAGTACTGCCTATCAAACAATTCATGTTGTTTTTAGATCGGCACTTCACGCCCAGATATGGGTGTATATATAAACACTGACTTTTGATTCATTCTCAAAGATAATAGTGATTAATTAATCAAAGTATTAACGGTTAATCCTTTGATCGATGCTTTTTTGCAACTCTACTGATCATTCCTCTCTTGCTGCTTTGCCACGTGCATGTTACATAACATGTAGTACATTCACCATATCAGACCTGGATTTATGACCCAATCGTGGATTAAATAAAAGGTGAGGTGAAGGTGAAATTGGGTTTAACGTCGCGTCCAAGATTATTGCACTTATATAGCGACGTGCATGCACGTGTGTGTGTTGCTGCTTGTACAAGTCCGGACTGATGCCGATTTATAGTGCTAGCTCATTGAGATACCATGCCGCAGTTTAACATGAATACCCCACTCAGACACAGTACACTGACTCCGAGCCGACCAGTCCTTGTTTAGCCCCTTAATGCCGAGCACAAGACAACAAGTACCATCTTTTAACGTCTTTTGGAATGACGCGGTCGGGGATCGAACCCTGAACCTTCCGCTCTCTGGGCGGACGCTCTACCACTAGACCACGGAGGCGGTCGGATTAAATAAATACTCCGGACACAATGTGAACCACTGAGTGCTATTACCTTGATATCCTAATAGGCAGCGGTGAACGCTGTTGAGATATTCTGCAGTCTTTGTC